AAGTACTTTTCCCCTGCTTTATTGCTAAGGAAGCACATAGAAATTTCTTCTATCAATTTTTATAGTTAATTCATTTTAAATGACATAGTAGTGTCCAAGTTGAAATTAGAATGAGAAAATTAGGATAGCATGAGAAAGCTGTCCCTGCTAAAATTCCTCTGAACTAAAAGGGATGTTATATTGTGCACACGTCTCATGTAATTCACTGGAAACAAATTAATCCTAGCTGTAGTCCCTGAGTTTGAGGAGGCTTTGGATGGAATAGCTATTAGAGTATAACAGCTGTACTTTTTCTGAATGCAAAACCAGTTGTAATGACTATAATACAGAGCATTCCCGTAGCTTCTACTCTTTCTCTGAAAAGAACAATTTTTTAAAGTACCCCATTACGTACTTATTGCTAGTAACTGCAGTATAGCAACAGAAGTAATATTGAAGTTGCATACAGCTTTTTTTCGGGGTTTTTTGTTTGTTTGTTTTAAGGCTTTGAGTTATACTCCTGTAGAAGTAAAAAATGCAGATGAAAGAACAGAAAAAGACATCAGCAGGTAAAGATACTTTGAGACCAAGGAACCTGTGAGTAACTTAGCTTTTGTGTGTGACAGCCTCCTGTTCTTGCTGTTCGGGAATTATAAAGAAGCAAGCAGTTCACAAGAGCTTTTTGTGTCAGGTTTCTGGCAGCTGCTAGCCTCCAAGGACTTGTTCAGGAAGGCACAATGACCTCCTTGTGTATTGCCATGACTGAGGAACAGCACAAGTCAATGATTATAGACTATAGCGGACCTCAGCCTCAGTTGCATAATGCAGGTGAGATTACAGCTGTGAATAATTCTTCATGTTATGCTCTTGTATCCATCAGCTGCTGAGAGTTGTGGACATTAGAGGCAGTTGAGGATATTCAGAAGCTCATAGGCTCATGCTCAGTTTGGATTCTGGCTGGAAACTAGAACACCTGTTTTCCTATGAGGTAGCAGAGTAGTTTGTTTCACCAGACACACTGGAACTGTGGTTTGAAAATGGTTGATAATAAAATCCATGGTGCATTTAGTTTGCAGGCCATGAAACTATGACTTGTACACTTCAGGGAAGCTGCAAAACTTTTTTTTTCCTGTTGTATTTTTGACAAATGTTGTGAAAAGGGATTCAACAATTGGAACAGAATTTCATGTAATCACTGTAGCTGTGTTTACTTTTCTTTTCCATATGTATTGTTTATCTTAAGACTTATTCCTGGCCGAGGTACACTATTAGCAGTTGTTATGTGAGAATGATTAAACCAAGTGAATGCAGCTATATATTTATGTTGAGCTCATTTACTTTTTCTCATCTCTTCTCTCTGTTCCTGAACACATAACAGGAAGCAACAGATTCTGTGAGGACTGGATGCATGCTTTTGTGAATGGTGCTGAAGGTGGAAATCCATTTCTCTTCCGGCAGATTTTGGAAAACTTTAAATTGAAGGTATGTGTTCATATACGTTGAAGACTTGAAGAAGACATCAGGGTTACTGAGGGAGCAAATGCTCTTTTTGCAGCAAAGAAAAGTTTTAGGTTATTTATGATATCTGTACGTCATTAACTGATTAACTCTGAAGTTTAAGTTGAGGACTGGCTTACCGTAGTTGACAAGACCAGAATGTAAAGTAGTGTGAAAGTTTCTTCAGTGAGTACTACAAAGGCATTTTCTCATATTTAAAATAAAACCTACTTTTTTTTTCTCTTAAAATACTGTTAATTTGAGCTGTGTACACACAGTATCATGTAATTGGTAACATGGATTCAGTAGTTAACACTTCTTAGGTGATCCATGATAATAGAAGAGGAGAACTCTTGCTACAAATTTGGACATATCAAGTTGTGCTGTCCACACATTTTTCATCGTTACAGAAACAGCATTAATGTGCATCAAAGTCAGTACTCAATTCTTACGTTACTCTTGAGTACCAATATAAAATTCCTATTGGAAATGCTTTTGCTTCTCCTGCTATTATTCCTTCGCTTTTCCACCTGACAGCATGTTTTCTTTCCATATAGAAGGATAAGAAAATGCTCTGTTTCTCTTTTCCCAGGCCATACAAGACATTAACAACCTGAAGAGGTTTATCCGCCAGGCTGAAATGAACCACTACGCCTTGTTCAAGTGTTACATATTTTTAAAGAACTGTGGCAGTGGAGACATCCTTCTGAAGATTGTTAAAGTAGAACATGCAGAAATGCCAGAAGCCAGAAATGTAGTGACTGTCCTTGAGGAATTCATGAGAGAAACATCAGTGGCTTAAAATTATCTTAATTATTCTGTATTCGTTTGAGGGTATTGTATAAATCATTAATTTCTTCTGTGCAGCTTAGTTTCACTACTGCAGGATTTTTAATTTATATCTAAAAGTATTACCTAAGTCAAACCTAAGTTGCAGTTTCATTTGCCTTTTCTTTTTTTTAGAGAAAGCAGTATGAGCTTTTTTTTAACGTGTAAATAGCAGATCATGCAAACTCCTGCATAGTTTTCAGTGCTGACCAGATTCTCCAAATGACTTGCTGCTTTTCTGAGGAAATCATTGCATTTGTTTTTTACAGTCATTCCATGAAAAACCAAAATCCCTTACCTGGCGAGCATTTCAGTGTTTTAAATATTTTAAATATCTTTAAAATTATCATGTCTAATCATTAAGATCTTGTTACTTTTGTTTTAATATATAAAGAAGCACAAACATCTGGATGAATCATAGTAAATGAATTAATCATATTTGTTTATATAAGACACCACAGGTAACAAGTCTGTAGCTAGTTTCCACATTCTACTTTCAAATTGGCAGTTTGTTCCGCTGTTCCTAGATAAACAAGTTGTTTAATTGGTATGAAACAGAACTTACTTAAGATTGAGTTTTAAGACCTTAAAACAAAGTTTTAGGAATCAGTTTGTATGTACGCGTATATACACTGGACAGACATGTTAAATTCCTAGGCTATTTGATGAATCCCCTTCTTCATTAGTTTGTGGTGTGATCAAGACCTTTGTATGTTCTTAGTACCCATTTTGCATAACTGTAAATAATCGTATGTTTTTCAGTCATGGAGAACTAAACCTGAAAATTTTACAGATTAAATATTAACTTTAAATTAATAGAAAATTCTTCAGAAATTAAACTAAGTTCCCAAATTAATTGTTCAGACTTTAAAACATTTCATTGTATTTCAGCAATGAATTCTTACCCACATCATAGGACACTTAGCAGAATACTTGAAGAAAATCTTTGGCTACTGCTAGAATCAAAACTCAGGAGGCCTCCAAGTGACCACATAAACGAGGACTATTTCTTCAAACCCGATAGAAGCAAAACTCCCTGATCCTTTCCTTTGCAGCAGAGAGTGTTCAAATGCTAGACTTAGGGCATTTGAACAACTCTCCCTGAAACAGTAACTGTAACAGTCTTACTAATGCAGTTAAGTTTTGCTGTTTGTTCTGCCAGTGCTGTATACCGTGATGATAAAAGTTGAGTGCTTTCCTGTGACACCACTGTGTTGAGCCTATAATAAGGTTCACAATAAAACACATTCAAATCCTTAATAGTGTGCCTACCTTAAATTACAAATGAGTGTTGTCCTTGGTGTCTCCTGTTTAAAACCCTTTACTGGCACAATGCAGAGGAGCTGCTAGCGTAGTGTGCCACAGTCTGCAAGCGTCATACTGACACTGGAGGTAATACTTAACATATATGGGCAGGTCAGAGAAGAAAATAAAAGTAGTTTGAAAGAAAACAAACCCTTACTCTCTCATTTGCAGGAGCTCTGAGAAGTAACAATGTTTTCCTTTGGTATATTTTATTCATGAGTGAGTAAAGCAGCGCCACTCATTAAAATGTTACCCTTTGTTGCTCTTGCACATTTTTAACAAAGTTGGAGCACTGTTTAGTATTTTGCCTGATCAGAAGGGAGGGAAGAGGTGAGTGCTCAAAAAAAAAAACCCACTGGGATGTAAGAATGGGTAGCTGTGATCTAGTAGGAGTGTAAGAAATGATTGACTAGTCCTGTCCTGATCCTTGTGTCTGCAGCTGGGTGGAGAGTTGGGCCAGGTGTTCTATGCACTGGCCTTAATATTTACCAAGAGTAGGTCAGTCCCAGGCACAACGATGCTGGTGGTGATAAACTTTTCCTGAGATGCAACCGCAATGGCTTTGCCCAGCCTTCACCCCTGGAAGTTTTCAAGAATAAAGCAGCTGAAGTGCTGAACAACTTGCGTTATCTCTCAGCTGACCCTGTCTTGAGCAGGAGCTTGGACTAGAGATCTGAGATCTGTTATAACCCAAATTATCCTATTATCCTGTGAGGTGTACTACACTCATTTAAATAAGATTTGTTTTGTCTGCTAGGTAAATTACCATATATCACTCTTCAAAATCCAGATTTTTTTTTTAACCTTAGCTATAAAACTTTGCTTAGCCTTTTTGGGGCTTCTCACCTCCAAGGTAATGCATTGTTCGGTATCAGCCCTACTGAATTTGTACTGCGTTACATGTGGACAGCTTCAGCCAGAGCTTTTTCTGTTGCAAGTTCCTTTTCCTGAATTTTCCCAGCACTGAAGGTGGCTGGCATTATGAAAAACATAACTTCTTGCTTTCTGCGGCCTTTGTTTTAACATATCTATCTCACTTCTGCCAGCTTTGTAGTGACTTTGCCATTCAGTTACCTAACTACTAAACTGAAGACCCTCACAAGTACACACACACATTGAAATACACCCTGGTAGTTCATGAATTTGCAGGTTTTACTGATATCTTCCCATTCTAAATTCCAGCTTAAAAACAAAACTAAAGGAAATTAAACGAAAGCATAATAAATAATGCAGAAGCAGCTGGTTTAGCTGCATGAATGCCTGCAGAGTATTACACACTTAACTTCCTCCAGCAATCAGCTATTCAAAGCTCAGGATGAAGCACACAGAAGGTCAGAAGATGCTGAGATCAATTTGCAAACTTGAAAGATTTTTACTGTAGTTTTAAGGGTCTGATTTAAAACGCTTTGGGGGAAAAAAACCAAACAAAAAATCCAAACCAAAACAACAAACGAATGAACAAACCAACCCCCCCCAAACACCCAAACCCAACCGACGCCCAGATCCTCCAGGGCTATGTTAAGAATGCAAGTTCAGATTTAACTGCTACAGACCTGTTGCAGTTTGAAAGATCAGGGTCTGGTTTGGTTTTTTGGGGTTCCCTCCTCTTTGCCCCCAAGAGAAATAGCATATAAACCAATTAGTTTTTCTCTAACACTTATGAGCAATGCTAACTATATAGAATATGTTTGGAACTATGGGAATAAAGTGATAATGAGTTTTATGAGGTTTATGAGTGTGTGTGAGCAAGGCTAAGTATCAAGGCTGCCAGCTTCTAGCTCCTTCTCTGCAACAGGTATGCTGGAACTGGCAATATTTCTGTCCTTCAGTTTGCCTTTCTAAAATTATTTTAGCCAGAAAAAAAAAAAAAAGTATGGTGCTAGCCGACAGTAACACTTCCTGTATTAACTGAGAAAACCCAACAAAACCCACTTTACCTTCTTGTTTAAAGTCCTCAACTAAGGAATACAGAGATTTAAGTGTCTCGGAAAACTCAGTTATGTGCAGAAAACTAACAGCAAGAGCCAAGTCCCACATGTGGTAGCAGTGATCTGCCTCCCCTTAGGAGTAACAAATCTGATAGGAACTGCTGCTAATTACATCTTCAGTTTTTTAAGTCAGACTTTAAGCCAATGTTTCCCAACAAAAACACGAAATATTTTTCCAAAATAAGCCTCCTTCTTCCACATTGGTGAAAGGATTTTTATTTTAGTTACCTCAAAATAACTACATCAGTTGGAGTCTTGCTGCAGAACTTCCTGGATATGTTGTTCCCACTATTGATTCGAGAGACGAGAATGTGTTGGCTCTGAGATTTTAAGACGTTCAGTAGAGACTGATGTTAAAAGAGAATAACCCTCCACCCCAGTAAAAAGTTTTAAACAGTCTAATGTACTTGGTCATCAACTTCCCTGCAGTTCTGAGGTCACTACTGCACTAAAGCGTCAGTTGTCAAATGGTGGGACAAGACATGAATTTCAATACAAGTCCCAAGCCAGTTCTGCATCCTTGTTTTATCTCATGGAGAAATAAAGCAGCAGTTCACTGTCCCCTTTATCTTTTAGACAGACACTTTTAGAGAGACATAAAAATGAATTATCAATGTCATTATTAAAAGATTATATTACAGAGCTCAAAACCAAATGTTCTTTTGTTAAATACTGTTAACTGTACACAAACTTACAAAACTGTCTTTGAAAGTTTTTTCTTGCTTATTTTTTTGGCATGTGACATGGAACAGCTCAATTTTATAAAAAAAAAACAAAACAACAAAACCAAAACAAACAAAAAAAATCCAAACAAAAAAATTTAATGGATTCTGCACTCAAATAATATTGTTACAACAAAAATATACAGAATGTACACAATACAAAAATATTTGGAAACATACCATAGTGTCTTACCTTGCAAATATAATTCTGTTTTACTAGCCCTTAACGGGAAAGTATTGTCTGTTCAGTATTTTAAGGCAGAAAATTACATTGTTTAGTGCTTTGTGTTTAACACTTGGATGTGTTGTTAGCATTAGTAGTGTAAGCAAAAGAAAAGCTGCATAAATCTAGCTTTATTTGCAAACTAAACGGACACTGTGGGAGAGTCAGGAGACAGTCAGTGACTAACGTATCTATTAAGCTCACTGGAAATTAAGGTACTTTGCCTCTTAAATCAGGCCTAGGGAATATTTTGTGCTCCATGTTGTAAATTACCCTGAAACATTAATTTTCTGTACTACTACCAGCATTTCAGAAATACCTGGTTAGAAAAGTTTTTCCAATTAAAAGCCAATGATTAATGGTCACATCAAAAATACATTTAAACATGCTTTGTTTCTGTCTTATGTGTGATTCGTCCTTTATAGAGCTGCAAAATGCACTGATTTCCTTTATAACCAGCTCTTGGCATCAGTGATTGCAGGAGGAATTTTTGAGTTGTATCACAGAGCACTGTAGAGCAGCTACTACTATAAAAGAAACAGAACAGCAGCAATGTTCAACGAGGCTAAAACCCTAGAGGTGCTGGCCCTTTGTTCTCTAGATCCCAGTTTGCCTCCAGAGGTTGCTGGTGTTGAACTGTGTCCATATTCTCCAGTTCCACTTCAGGTAAAGCCAGTGGATGGGGTTTCCAAAGCAACTGAGTTGAGCTTGAATCTATGTAAACAGATAGACTTTG